CGTCATCTGCACAGTATATCGACCACCGAGTACTCCATTAAATTTTATAGATGATCTTGCCAACAGTCTTATCGAATCCCTCCTGTCAGGTCTTGATGTCATTATATTGGGTGACCTCAATTGCAACCTCCTTCAAGATAACGCAGAATCCCGTGCTTTAAACGATTTTTGCTCTACTTTTAACCTCACCCAATTAATCAATAAACCAACCAGAGCCACGGTGAATGGGGAATCGTTAATCGATGTTGTGATGACCACGAATGAGAAACTAATTGCTTCAAACGACGTCCTTATGTCAACTATTAGCGATCACAATCTTGTCTACATCTCGCTGAAGTTAAAAAAGCCAAGGATCAAGCCCTGTTACGTCACTATTAGAAGCTATACTAATTACAGCGCCGACAATTTCCTACGTGATTTGTCATTTGCGCCTTTTCACGTAATAAGCCTATTTGACGATTTCAACGATCAAGTTGATGTATTCAACGAACTGTTCTTGGAAGTACTAAGTCAACATGCTCCAGTCAAGAGGGTTAAAATTAGATCTAAACCTAACCCGTTTATAACACGTTAATTAACCGGTGTCTACCACGTAAACAACAAGATAGTTTTATGGCTTCTGAGGATCCCACTGGGTTAGCTAACGAATTAAATGATTTCTTCATCTCCGTCGGCAGTATTACTGCTCAAAAAGCCAGGGACTTATCTTTACATCATGGACTTAGTGTAAATTTGGACGTGCCGACTCCTTTACACATATCCACCGACGTTAGCCCCGAATTATTCGTTCTCCATCAAGTCACGGAAAATCAGGTAGAAAGGGTGATTAGAAGCCTACCATCTAACAAAGCTCCTGAAATGGACAAGATATCCTCCAGAATTCTTAAAGACAGTTTACCCAGTACGCTAACAACAATTACCCACATTGTGAATAACTCCTTTGTTACCAACACATTTGCAAAAAACAGCAGAGGTTACACCTATTCTCAAATGCGGTAATCCAGATGTCCCTAACAACTATCGCCCCATCTCATTATTACCAATAGTCTCAAAAGTCACTGAAAGGTTGGTACATGGACAACTTATGGAGCATCTAATTAGAAATAATAAACTGGCAGCACATCAGAGCGGAAATAGAAAGCTTCACTCGACAGAAACAGCTCTGTTGTACGTTACAGATCAGTTGCTCCAGGCTATGGATAACAAAAAAGTTTCCATCATGGTCTTATTAGACATGTCTAAAGCATTTGATAGTATTCGACACGACATCTTGTTATCCAAGCTACAAAATCTCGATTTTTCCCAGGGTGCGTTGAATTGGTTTCAGAGTTACCTTTCTAACCGACAACAGTGCGTTCGAATAGGTGAAGCAGTTTCTAAAGTACTCCCACTTGAGTTCGGAGTTCCGCAAGGCTCTATTTTAGGTCCGGTTTTGTTTACAATCTATGTTAACGACCTCCTTTCTGTTCCTAAACGTTGTCTATCTGCCTCCTATGTTGATGACTGTAAATTGTACTTGTCCTTTTCACCTGCCGAATTACCCACGTCCATCCTCGCCTTAAACGAAGATCTTACGAGAATATCTCAATGGTGCTGTAAAAACTCTCTTTTGATTAACCCGGACAAAACTAAGGTTCTAGCTGTTGGATTACCACAACTTTTAAAGAAACTGTCATCATTCAGTATAACACTTTTTGACAAGGAAATAACACCTGTGCCTGTCGCTAAGGACTTGGGTGTTCTTCTCGACACACACCTCAGTTATAACCAACATATCACTGAGATTGCCTCTAAATGCCTTTTTAAATTGTACCAAATTAACAGAATCAAACACCTCCTGGATAGGAAAACACTTCTGTTAGTAATAAATTCTTTTGTCTTTAGTAAACTCCAATATTGTTCAACTGTCTGGAGTAATACCAGCAGCAGCAATATTGACAAGTTACAAAAAGTCCAAAACTTTGCCGGGCGAATTATTCTGGGACTAAGAAAGTATGACCATATTTCGGATGGGTTGCGATCGTTGAAATGGCTTCCTATTAGAGAGAAACTCATTCTAAATGACGCTACTATGATGCACAAATGTATTAACAAGCTTGTTCCAGACTATCTTGCTGATATGTTTAAATCACGTTCTCAAGTCCATAATAGACAAACTCGATCATCTGGTGCTTTTGATATACCTTTATGTCGCCTGTCAACAGGGCAGCGGTCCTTTGCTTTCAATGGAGCCAAACTCTGGAACTCCTTGAACGATAACATTAAGTCTTTAAAATGCCCCAGGAATTTTGGACGTCATCTTGCAAACGTTTTATTAAGTTGATATATTATATTATTGATATATATTTTGTAATTATAATATTATTGTATTTACATTCTCAATTAATTTATATATTTGTATTTTTTTTTTTTTTTCTATTGAGCTGAAAAGCCCACTTAGGGAGCATCAATAAAGTATATGTAAAGTATAAAGTATATGTATGGCCTTGAATCTTACTGGATTCATTCCTTTACAGAGTCAACGACTACCTCCAAGCAAATGTTGCTCATCTCCTTGTGGATCCGGATGAAAACTTTATCTACACAAGGCGTAAACAGAATCGTAACAGAGTCTGTACTGAGGACCAAAGAGCCGAATCCGCCGATTCCGACTTGTCGACTCCGCTGGACCCGGACAACACAAAGAACATCGCTTTTCCTGCGAACGGATGGGGTACATCCCTTGCCAAAGGCCCGATGTTTACTCGTGCAGAATTAGAGAAACATATAAGTGATTCTGGAAAAAAGCATCGACATGGTGAGCATCATTCGCTGCCCACAGGATTACAAAAAGCCAAGCAGTTTCTGGCTGATGAGTATTTGCATGAAATACAAACGCACTCTGATCAGAGGTATTTTTACTTCCGTGCTAAGTGTTTTCATAGTTTCAAGGTAAATGAAGCACCGCACAACTTAAAACTAGCACTCTGTATGGTGACAGGAAATGTGGAGTATGCCTACTGTGGGCCAAGTTGTGCTGCAGGTAAATCTGGTTTTTGCAATCACATTCTGGCTTTAATGATAAAAGTTTGCAAATACACTATTTATAATTGCAAAGATGTGCGAGATTTGAAGGATGAGGAGGATGAAAATCCAACCAGTGCATGCACATCAGCTTTGCAAAATTGGCACAAATCAAGACTAGAAGGTATCCGCTCCCAGCCTGTCATGGATATGGTTGTTTCAAATCCTGCAAATAATGCTGAACGTGTCAAAAAAACAGGAGTAACTTGTCTTCTGACAGAAGCAAGAAAGGGAGAAAGTGATCAGAAGAGGAAGCTTGAACAATTACTACATTCTCTTGAGCAGCATAGCTCAACGCTTGGCATAACTCAAGTGGTTGATCCCTCGAGTATTGATACATCACCTGTTGTTGACACTCGTTTTGGGCAATGCCCAGTTGGGTCACTTGGATCGTATCAGCTTTCCTTTACTGAATCGAACTTCACATTTGTAACCTTGTTTGATGGATTTGACTGTACAGAACACTGCACAGCAAATGAATTCCCGGCCTACCCTTCGTTCCCATTGGATGATTTCTGCAGATCATTTCAGACCCCTGACAACCTCACTGTTAAAGAAATGGAACTGCTGAAGAGCTTGACTGTTGGTGTTATAGAGGCAAACAAAATGGAAGAGAAAACCAGAGAGCAAGCAAGTTGTGAGGAATGGATGCGAGAAAGAAAATTGAGATTCACTGCCTCTAATTTTGGAAAAATTTCTCGAAGACAGAGGAACCACACCAAATTTGTGGAAGATCTTTTAGCACAGAAGACATTTTCTTCAGCTGCTGTAGAACATGGCAAAAAGTATGAGCCGGTGGCACTGAAGGAATATGAGAAACATATGAGGAAAATGGGAAAACCTGTAAAAGTGTTAAAGAGTGGACTGTTTGTTTCTCCGAAGGTTCCAATTTTAGGATGTTCCCCAGATGCCAAAATCATTGACTTGAGCTGCAAAGACAGGTTTGGGCTTGGTGAGGTAAAATGCCCATCGTCGAAATTCCATGTGACTCCCCTCGAGGCTTGTGATGACCCTGGCTTCTTTATGGAAAACAAAAATGGGAAGCCATCTTTAAAAAGAAGCCATGTTTACTACGATCAGGTGCAAGGACTTATGGGCCTATCAGGGGTACCATGGTGTGACTTTATTGTTTACACTAGTAAAGGACTAAGTGTGGAGAGGATCAAGTTTGATCAGGACCACTGGAACAACTTATGTGGAAAACTATGTGACTATTATTTCAAGCACTTTCTTCCAGTTGCTGCTCTGTAAAACATAGCCAAAAAATACAAAGCAGTATGTTACAAATTTTATTGTCTAATGGATACTCATGATCTATTCATATGAAGTTAGTCGTGATCATAAATGTGTAAAGAAATCAAGACTACATTTGACTCAGATAATTGACGAACCCTCTCTAACTTACCGCTATCTCGAAGTAATTTACATTTTCCTTCAGGTCATTTTCTATATGATTTTTACCCTCGATAACTCAAATCATTGCTATTTCCCTGAGGGTTCAAGTAATCGGGAGCCAACTGTAAGTTTTTTTCTTTTTCTTTTTTTTTTTATAGAAACCAAATACCCTGACAAAGACAACTGGCCTTTTATCATAATTTATTGTAATAATAAAAAATACTGGCAAATATTTCAGTGTCAGTTGAGACTATTGAATAGAAAAATATTTGCAAAATTACTATATATTGGATTGCAATTTTGTAATCATAGCACAAGTCTCTACGGTGTCTACATCACGTGGCAATGCACAATTTCAACAAACATCGTGCTGTTAATTAGCCCAAAAAGTTATTTTACAACTTACTTCTTGAAAATTTTACATACAAAATAAAAACTAAAAGGATAAGAATTGAATTAAAAAAATCATTTGCCAAGAGATTTCAACACCAGGGCCTTTTTCAGTTTTCCCTCAAACATAAATATTTTGCTATCAAAACAAGTTATGCACTTATGATACTGTTCTGAAAATTGCATAGCATGGCACATACCGCCCACATTTGGTTTACAACCCCAAACAGGGTGAACGGTACTACACAATCCCATATATGAAAATTTTTAATTTTATTTATTGCCCTTTCAACATGAATCCGAACAGAAGCGATCGACTGTGTCTCAACAACTTCTGCTGCGCTCATTTGACCCTTGCTTCCCAAAAAAGGTGGAATATTTAGGGACACTCCAAGGGGTAGAAGGTCCTGAATAGTAAAGCCTTTATCGGCCATGACAGAATCTCCCCTATTAAAAGGCAGATTCAGAAATCCTGATCTTGTAACAATTTCCCTGTCAGAAATATGACCAGTGTATAGCTGGCTGATGAAGGTAATAGCACCTCCTGGTGAGATGCCAATCAAACCTTTAAGAGTTGTGTGGTTTTTGTAAGAACTAAAAAGTTCACTGTTAAGGCGTAGACTCTTGGGCATCTGGCATCGTACCTCAGTACAGTCAATAACGACCCTAGTTGAGGGGTATTTGTCTTTAAAGTCAGCAGGCATGCACAAATCCACTTTTGCTCTTGATGGCCACACTGGAATTACACTGAATTTTAAGAACATAAAATTTATCCATGAAATTATTATTCTGCTTACTGTTGTCTGTGAGACTCCATACAAGTGGCTTAAATGCACCTCCTTGAACCCCTGCCTTAGTCTGCAAAGGGTCAAAAAGAATTCTTCCTTTGGGCTCAATTGGCGTGGCCTACCCTGCTTGGGAATATCTTCCTCATCCCTCTGACAGGGTGGGGAGGGGACATCACATGGTGAATCCGAGTGCCAGTAATTTATATTTTCCCCTTTCTTACCAGGATCTAAAAACGCGAAAACACTTTCTAAGACATTTTTGTTTGGGATATAAATAAAAAGCAACATCCTTCTCCGAGGGCAAAAATTTCTCAATGCAGAACACTCTTGACTGCAAGGAATCGTTCTGGCGTTTAAGTTCCTCTACTTCCGACTGGAAATTGTTATTAGAAATAGTGATTTTACGGATTTCCCCGACAAGCCGTTCATTTTCAAGTTTAAGTTTGCAAATAAGAGCTTCCAGATCCTCAGCTGGTTCTTCTACTGTGGTGCTTGCCGAATCTGCTAGTGTTGACGGGGAGGAAGCGCGAGATTCTTGAAATGTCACTAGATCGCACGTGGAACAGTTGTCGACTCGTGCTGGCGCAATTGTCGTCTCCTGTGATTTTGTCGTGGTTTTTTTCAAAATCAGAGTTCTTTTCCTCGGTGATTTTTGCTTGATCGGCGAACCCTGCTTCCAAGGAAACAAAGATGGGACTGCCATGGATTTCAAACTCTTTTTACGGCCTGTGAGTGACGGTAGATAATCTGACGATTTGAAATGTCGCGAGCAAACTCTCGTGTGTTCTGTCACCTTGAAATCTTTACCCTCATCTCTTCGAATGGCAACGATCCACTTCATAAATAAATCTCTATTTTCAGGAAACTTGTGGTAAGAGATCTTAATACCATCTTCTTCGTAAACTTTCTTAGTGCAGCCAGGGACACAGCAATTTTGCGGCATGATGCGCTTTTTCTTTGCCATTAATTTACATACGTAAACACGAGACTTGGCCCTCGATGCCTCGTTTTCATGCTATTCGATCCAGACTCTCATCGGCCGCCGCCATTTTGGAATTAGGAGTATTGTTACTGTTGTTTTTTTAATTATTAAAGCTATTGTTTAATGTTACGATTTCATTGTTGGAAAGATGGTAACTTTTTCACTACCATATATATAAAACTAAGCATGATGGCAACTCTTAATCACAGAAAACAAATAATCAAATATTTTACTTTCTTTCTTAGTATCCTTCAGAACTTGATTTTATTCTAAATTTTAATAAAAATATCTACTGCCCTCATTCCATTCCTAACAGTGTTATTGTTACTTTGCTTTGATTGCGTAATTTTTAATGTAGACTAATTAACTACTTGCTTGTAAATAGTCAGCATGAGAAGCACTGTTTAAAAAAATGCATCATACTCCTGTATCTGAGATTATAACACTGCTCAGTTTCAATTACCATAATTTTGCTGTTCATGTTTTTATCTCATTTTGAAATAAACTTATCTTGTGTTAACTTCAATTATTTATGTGAATGTGGCAATTATATCAAGACACTGTCCATTTTTTTATGACGCATGGGGATCCTCCTGGGGTTTAGGGGAGATGCATGTAAAAAAATGGGGCTTCACAGGAGGGGACATAGGCCAAGAAGTTCGCCCCTGAATGGGAGGTCACCCCAAATAATTCTCATGACCAGCAATAACAGATACAATAAAAATTATCCATTACATGAATGAGCTGGCTCTCAGAGCCCTTTGATTTTACCGTAGAAAGTAACTCTTAAGCCTCGACCGCAGGAGCCAAAACAGCGTATCCTCCACCGTGAAAGCACTTCCCGGAGTTTCACATCGTGTGTAATGGCGTCTTCTCACCACGCACCTAAACAGTGATGCCTGTCCAAGGTGGAAACTATCCATAGCTTCGAGAACTGGAAGCAAAATCTTCTTTAAAAATTATCACTGGACAGCAACTTCGCCCCTTTCCCAGCAGATGGCGTTCAATGGTTGAAAAAGACTAGAGCCCAACCACTTCGAGGACTTGAAGCCGATGGCGATCACATACCTCTCGCTCGACAAAAGTCAACTTTCTCTAGCTGATGCTAGGTCAGATTGCAAATTATTGCCTATCATTTCCAGAAGCACTTTGGTGAAAAATTCAACGTCATTGGAATTAATCTGGCAAACTATTCGCCAACACTTTGGTTTCCAGGCTACCGGCGCAAAAGTTATCGATTTTTCTGACATACACCTTGCAGAGGATGAGCGCCCTGAGGATCTGTACCAACGCCTTATGGCTTTTGTAGAAGATTCCTGACTACACGCTAAGGGTTTAACTCACCATGGTGAACATGTTCCAGAGGATGAGGAACTAACTCCTACCCTAGCAAACTTTGTCGTTCTTACTTGGTTGAGACTCACTCACCCCAGTCTCCCTCGTTAAGTTAAGCAAGGTGAGGTGAGATCTTGCACCCTCGCCTCAATTAAACCCGAGATCTCTCAGGTACTTAATTTTCTCCTTGATGAAATCTGCGCTTCAGATGACGCTTAGATTCTACATAGTTGATTTTCCGTCGCTCCCGTCCGGGCAGCAGGAGTGACCCTAAGACCCACACCATACAGCCCCATCAGGACAAGGTCTGTCCCTTATGTAAGCAAGCCGGTCACTCTAACACAAACCAGTATACCTTCCTCCCTGACAATGACAGGGGCTTCATGGTAAAAGTGAGACAGATCATCGGCATCGACGACGAAAAAGACACCACCAGCGACCTTGATCCTGATCTACCCTGTCCTGAAACTACTTTGCCTTTTCCTGACGTCGTTGCTTACCATGTTCAGACCCGTCAATCGCCTTACGTAGATGTCTTTCATGGTCACCGCGTCGTACGTGTCACCACTGACAGCGGAGCAACTGGAAATATGATCCGTCACTCTACCGCAAAACACCTCGGATGTCCCATCATGTCAAGTGCTCAGTCCGTCCAGCAGGCAGATGGCTCTTCTCAGCCTCAGGTGGTCGCGCCAGTCACTCTGCATCTGTTCAAGTAGACCCAGACATGATAATAATAATAATAATAATAATAAAATCTTTATTACCGTGTCAATGTATTTAGCTCATAGAGCTACAATTGTAATTGGGGACACCTACTATTACAAAATTAATAAAAAAAATTATGTACAGTATCATAATAAGTAACAATATAGCCGATAAACTATGCATTAAAATTTTAAAATATTTAGAAATATTAACAATGTTCAGATAACATAAAAATACTTGTACAATGCAGATAATTAGAAAAATCACGTGCTGCAAAGATTGCAGCAGTTGCCACTGTCTTCCACTAGGCTGGCCATGTCAACTCTACGGATTTTAGTTTTAAAGATGCTAAGGCTTGGTAGTTCACGCATACCATTTCCTAATTTGGACCAGATATATGGTCCTTGATACCTAAGTGTATGTTTACCATAGCGTATAGTATTAAATCGTGGTATTTCAAAGTCACTATTCCTAAGGTTATAACGAGTACCCTTTCGAGTAAATATCTCAGATATGTAGCTAGATACTAGATCGTTCTTTACTTTACACATGAGTATTGCTATGTCCTGTAAGCATCTATTATGAAGCGTAGGTAACTTAGCACACTTAAGAAGTTCCTCATATGTCTCTGTTGTTGTTTTGAAGATTTGTCATTCTACCTGAGGCTGTCAGAGCCCACTTCCAATCTCTGCTCAGTAAGTACGACTCCGTATTTGAACCTCAGTTACCAGGCTACAATCGATCCACAGGCCCTTACCAAGCGGAGGTCAACATGGGCCCCATTAAGCCCCCACAACGAAAAGGCCGCCACCCCCAGTATGCTTGTAATATGCTCGTAGAGCTCCAAGGGAAATTTGACCACCTAGAGCAGCTTGGTGTCTTCCAACACGCTCCACCCTGCGTCGCATCGCCCAGTGGTCACAAATCATCATCACAGACGTGACAAGTGCCTTTTACCAAATACCTTTGGCTAAAGAGTCCATGAACTATTGCGGCTTTGCCACTCTCTTTAAAGGGGTATGAGTAAACGTTTGTTCCGCTATGGGTATTCCCAGTTCGGAAACTGCCCTTGAAGAGGTTATGTGCCATGTCCTAGGCCCACTACTAAGAGACGAATCTGTTGCCAAAAGCGCTGATGATCTGTACTGCAGTGGCAACACTGCCTTCCTCTACATTCACAATGACGTTACCCAGACCCGAAGACCAGCTGTGGATTGTCACTGATGGGGCACTCAGGGACCCTGGAATAGGCGCCACCCTCTACGTGACGCGCGGAGACAAGTCACATGTCTCTGTCCAGAGAGTGCATTATTGGCACACACCAAGCTTTGGATGGCCTTTTGACCGCTCCTCACATACAACTCAACCCCCCATTTGAAGATGGATTGAAATTTGGGTTGATTTGGATTGGAAATTTTTTTTTTAAAAACTGAACTAGTGAGCAGCACTCTGCGAACAGTAGTTATAAAGTTTATCTATTCTCCGACGCGTTTCTTTTAACTGTCGTGACTTCTCAAGGGAGTTTTACTGGTTAAAACTTGACGCCTGTATTTCTAAGCCATAGTTAGCGGCCATACGGGGACCAGTGACCTTAAATGCTTGGCCGGACATACGATCAGGAAGAGGCGAAGTTGTAAAAAAATTTGAAATTTTTTTGGGCAAGGTGAGAAAATATTTTGGGAGCCACGGTTTTAGCTAAAACCGTGGCCTCCAAAAATGATGGCAAAGCAAGCCCAAAACGGCAGAAATCTCAAAAAACCGCAAGGTGTGAGTAAGTTTTATCATTCTTATGTGTAAAATGCTTCTATTGCGGAATACCGGCTTAGTGTTGTAAATCGACCATATTTCGTGCCCCATTCCTTATAACGCATTAAAATTCTCAACGGTTCCTCGCGAAACGTAACACCGGGTCACACAACGTTACCTATACACAATATTGATGTGATAGCAGAAATAGTCTTTTGGTATAATATCCCACTGGGGGCCCCCCTCCCCCAAAAATGAAGTTGATTGATCTCGGTTGTCTTATTCACGTGCCGGACTCGTGCTTCTACGGCAGAACAAAGAGGGCCTGTTCGTTTTGATTTCTTCGATTAAAGGCTGGTGTTGTGCAAGTTGACTGAGTTGACAAAGTGTTATCGAACATGGGAGATTCAGGCGATTCCAGCTCTGCTAGCGATTGCGGGTCACTGCAGCCGAAAGGGAGGTCAACTAATAAAGTCTCGTATGGCTGAAAGAGAAGGCAAAATGTACACTGCATGGAAATCCGTGGGTACTGCTGAATCGTGAGGGCAGGGTTAAAGACGTCGCAATTGGAGGAAACTATTCGAGTGCAAAGATGAAAGAGCTGGTGAAGAAAAATTTTGCTGGACTTGCGCCAGTTGACTTGAATAGGTAGGATAAGTACCAGAGCACTTAATCTCGCATGCAAGTTGTATGCATTGAATGCTGGATGTAGACGGATAAGTTTATAGTAATGTAAAAACCAGGTAAGGCAAAACAATGCAAATTCCAGCATAGTAATTTACCGCTTATCCTTTAACTATTTGCTAGGGATCATTCATTAAAACTTAAGTATGAGCAGTGGACCTGCTGCCACTGTAAGGCCTGTAAAGGTGTGAAATCTGCTCGTAATATACAAAAGCAGCACCTTTTATAACACATGTAATGGTGGGCGGAAAGAATCCGTCTTTCAAGAAAAAAAATTCAGACCCACCCCATAGAGCGTCATTTGACGTGTCGTCATCAACATTAAAAATAAGGAATTATCAATCCTTATGAGATTTTAGTTAAGTTGGTTCATAGAACTGTTGAAGACTTTTCTTTTAACAAATTTCAGTTTTATCGGGTTTTTCGTCTTCTGTTAAAGCAAGGTGGAATTGACTGGTAGCTTCCAACTGCCATATTTGTGACCCTCC